TTGCTCTGTCACCCAGGCTGGAGTGCAATGGCATGATCTTGGCTCACCACAACCTCTGCCTCCCGGGTTCAAGAGATTCTCCTGCCTCAGCCTCCTGAGTAGCTGGGATTACAAGTATGTGCCACCATGCCCAGCTAATTTTTTAGGTTTTTAAAAATTTTTAGTAGAGATGGAGTTTCTGCATGATGGTCAAGCTGGTCTCGAACTCCTGACCTCAGGTGATCCACCAGCCTTGGCCTCCCAAAGTGCTGGGATTACAGGCATGAGCCACCGTGCCCGGCTTTTCTTTTCTAGATTCTGTCACTCTTGTCGCCCAGGCTGTACTGCAATGGCACGATCTCAGCTCACTGCAAACTCCACTTCCTGGGTTCAAGCAATGCTCTTGCCTCAGCCCTCTGAGAGGCTGGGATTACAGGTACCTGCCATTATGCCCAACTGATTTTTATATTTTTAGTAGAAATGGAGTTTCACCATGTTGGCCAAGCTGGTCTTGAACTACTGACCTCAGGTTATCTTCCCACCTCAGCCTCCCAAAGTGCTGGATTACAGGCGTGAGCAACAGCGCTAAAAGCTATATTTCTTAAAGATCCTGCAAGTGGTTCAGATATACACCGAGGTTTGGAAACCACTTCCAGTAAAAAGAACACCTTCGATCTCTCCCCCTTTCCTTATATAAACTCTAGGGAAGTGGGGAGGGATTGAAGGTGGTTTTTTTACTTTATATATGCTCTAGGCTTATATAGAATTTTAAAAATATAAGCTTCTGGGAAGTGAATAGATAATGGATAGAATATCTAGACAGAAAATCAGTAAACAAATCAGGACTTGAACAACGCTGTAGACCAAATGGACCTTACACACATATATGCAGAACATTCCACCCAACAGCAGCAGAATACACATTTTCCTCAAGTACACATAGAACAGTCTTTAGGACAGATCACATGTTAAGTTTAAAAGTAAGTCTCACCTCTCAAAGGTGCCATTTTCTGCTTAGCAGTACTCCATTTCTTTGTATCATTTGAAGGTTCTTACAACCCTCTTACCTCCAGGCAGCCTTTCTGGATTAAATCTCAGCTGACCATGAGTTTCTTAAGACTCTCCCCAACCTTCCTGACCCCAAAATGTGGATATGCTTTCTATTTATGTATTAATTTGGTGTTTCCACTCTGTTGGCTTGCTACCTGAGTCTTAGGCCACTGCTGCGTACAGAGCCTCTGGACGAGGTCTGTCTTAACTGCTTCATTATTATTTGATGACAATGATAGTGAGTATAGCAGGGATGGAATTCTGGAGACCCAGGTTCAAGCCTCTGTTCTTCTAGAGTATAACCTTGGATAAATTCTTCCCTTTCTGAGCCTCAGTTTCCTCATCTGCGAAGTGAGGGGTATATATACGGTCTCTGCAGTCCTCCTCTGTAGGCTCTAACTTTCTCTTTCGTCCTTTTATTCACTGGTATAGCTAAGGAAGTGAAACTCCAGAGACACTCCTGAAATGTCCTAAGTCAAAGGAGCCAAACAGTGCTCAGCTCCCTCTCTGCCATCCCCTCTGAGAGCAGGCATGGCCCTGAGTGATGTTGATGTGCAAAAGCAGATTAAGCATATGATGGCTTTCATTGAGCAGGAAGCCAGTGAGAAAGCAGAGGAAATCGATGCCAAGGCTGAGGAAGAGTTTAACATTGAGAAAGGACGCCTTGTGCAAATCCAACGGCTGAAGATTATGGAGTATTATGAGAAAAAGGAGAAGCGGATAGAGCAGCAGAAGAAAATCCAGATGTCCACCATGAGGAATCAGGCAAGGCTGAAAGTCCTGAGAGCCCGAGATGACCTCATCTCAGATTTGCTCAGAGAGGCAAAGCTGAGACTCAGCAGGATTGTAGAGGACCCAGAAGTCTACCAGGGGCTGCTGGATAAACTGGTGCTCCAGGGTCTGCTCCGACTGCTGGAACCTGTGATGATTGTGCGCTGCCGGCCACAGGACCTCCTCCTGGTGGAGGTTGCAGTGCAAAAGGCCATCCCTGAATACATGACAATTTCCCAAAAACATGTGGAGGTCCAGGTTGATCGAGAGGCATACCTGGCTGTGAATGCAGCTGGAGGTGTGGAGGTCTACAGTGGCAATCAGAGAATAAAGGTTTCAAATACCTTGGAAAGTCGACTGCATCTCTCAGCCAAGCAAAAGATGCCCGAAATACGAATGGCCTTGTTTGGTGCTAATGCCAATAGAAAGTTTTTTATTTAAACCTCTGGGAAGTGAAGCTCGTGGTGAACCACTAAATCATAAAGGTCTAAGTTTTTTGGGCAAAGGAAACTAGTGGTGTTTCCTCCTCTTTGATGCTCTGATATTGTTCTGTTTTTCTTCATGAAATGTCCTTTAATAGCTAAAATGTTAACTTTGAAATAAAGCCCAAATTAATGCCCAGAATTCAAATTTCATTTCATCCATACACACCACAGCTTCTGGTCTATTCTGCAGTTGGGATAAAGGGAGTGATGACATCTGCTCTTCAGCTTGGCCTCAGGTGGTCAAAGCGTGAGATGTGAATAGTGTTCTTGGCCTGTGGATCTGGGTGCTCCAGTTTAATATGCATATGAAGTGTGTTCTTCTTTTGTTTCAGCTTTAGTACCCACACTTATATTATTTAATGAGGTCTAGAGGTCTTTCTCACATGTCCAGAACCAACTTCATGGGCATCCAACCAGCACAGTCACACAGGGGCCCATGCTCAGAAGGGCCCAGCATCTAGGGTGTAGTGATCTGTATTTGCTGCCCTGAAATTCCTAATTTCATCTTTGGATCTATGTTTTGTAAGTGACAGTTGATAGGACATTGGGGCATATGCCAGGGGTTTGGAGCTTTGGCTCACACATGGTACTGACTCCCAAAGCCTATCCACTTTCTTGGGATGGGTTGTTGGCCAACCAATTCCCAGCCCCCTGGTGCCCTGAGGCCCCGCCTTCCTCTAACTCACCCCTTGAGCATTGCTTCCCTCTGCCCCTGGCAGGGGCCTGGTGTGCATGCAGGGAGGGTCAGAGAGGGGTTTCATGCTCTGTGGAGTTTCAGGGTCAGACATCCCTGCCCAAGACCGGCAGCTTTGTGGCACATTCAGTAGGAAACTCAGGGGGAGGGGTGAGTCTCTCACCCATCAGATACTGATAGTGAGCCTGTCTTGTGTAGAGGTTTAAAGAGCCTTCGAGTTACCTGTCTGCTATAGGGCAGCCAGCCCACTAGAAGGAGAGATGCCAGCTCAACTTCCCTGATTCTGGCCCAGGCACCACACTGGTGGCTGGTGGGAAGGGGGACTCAACCACTGCCCAACTTGCTGCACCAAAATCTCAGGGCAGGACCCTCAGAAGCTTGTAAATGTCTGCACTTGGCCTGCAAAGTATCCCTGTGCCTGGCAGGGTGCTCCCTTGGATAGTTCGGTGCCTGGGGGAATTTGGACATATCTCTTCTGGCCAGTGTGAGGCACCTTCTGGAAGGAGCCAAGAAATACAGGTTGTATAATTTTGGTGGCTCAGCATATGGGCACTGCACAATAAAAAATAAATGGTAGAATTCATGCTAATAATTTAAAGTAAATTTTCTTTGCCTAGGAAGATATTAAACAGCAAATAAACACTAGGAAAAGTCAAGAAAAGACTACAGAAGAAAGGAAAAAGCTTTATATTTTACCGCTGTTCATGTCACTTCTCTCCTGCTTTTGAACAAAGGATCTCACATTTCTTTTTTTCTTTTTCTTCTTTTTTTTTGAGACAGAGTTTTGCCACTGTTGCCCAGGCTAGAGTGCAATGGCGCCATCTTGGCTCACTGCAACCTCCGCCTCCTGGGTTCAAGCAATTGAGCTGGGTTCCTCCTGGGTTCCTGCCTCAGCCTTCCAAATAGTTGGGATTACAGGTACATGCCACCACAACTGGCTAATTTTGTATTTTTGGTAGAGATGGGGTTTCACTATGTTGGCCAGGCTGGTCTCGAACTCCTGACCTCAGGAGGTGATCCACCCACCTTGGCCTCCCAAAGTGCTGGAATTACAGGTGTAAGCCACTGTGACTGGCCAGAACTCACGTTTTCATTTTGGACTGGGCTCTGCAAATTACATAGCTGATTCTCCATGTGTATGTGTGATTTAAGGTCTAATCACTGCCTGATGTTCCTTTATTTATTAAAATAGAATTTTTTTTTGAAGAAAAGAGATCCCAAGATACTCTGTTGAGGCCAAAGGTTGGCCTGTGTGGTTAGGACTCTGTAAGGAACAGAAACTTCATGAAACTCAAACACAAAGTAGGGGACAGGCTACTAGTACATGGGGGTATCTTGCAGAACCTAGAACAGGAACCCTTCATGATCTCAGGGGAGGGCTGGGATTCAGAAAGCCATCTGAAGCCCTCTATATGGCCACTTTTCTTTCTTTAAGGAGTGACTTTCTCTGTTGCCCAGTTTAAATGGTGACGAATGCATGCCCCACAATTCCAAAGTAGACATGTTATAGTTCCAGAAACAGACCTGCCTCTCTTGAAGTCCATTCCACTTTCCCAGGAGGGAATCTATTTGCCAGGTGGGGTCAGGTGTCTACCTATGGTCCAGTTGATGTCTGGGGCAGTTCCCAGAGAAAAAAGGATTTTTGTCAGCTTTTGAGTTTCAAATTTAGTCATTAAATGAACACTTCCTTTTTTTTTTTTTTGAGACAGATTCTCGCTCTGTCGCCCAGGCTGGAGTGTGGTGGTGCGATCTAGGCTCATTGCAACCTCTGACTCCCAGGTTCAAGTGATTCTTCTGCCTCAGCCTCCTGAGTGGCTGGAAATACAGGTGCCTGCCACCATGCCTGGCTACTTTTTGTATTTTTAGTAGAGATGGGGTTTCACCATATTGGCCAGGCTGGTCTTGAACTCCTGACCTCATGATCCACCCGCCTTGGCCTCCCAAAGTGCTGGGATTACAGGCATGAGCTACCATGCCTGGCCTCAATAAACATTTTCTAAATGCCAATAATGAGCCAGGCACTGTGCTGGGTGCTGGGCTGCAAAGAAGAATATAATCTGGCTCTGTTCTTTAAGGAGTCATAGACATATAAACAGATGATGATCACAATAATGACATAATGTGGCAAGTGCCAGCCTAGTGCTGATGTGAAATCCTGTGGGAAGAGAGTGGCAAGAAGGGAGGGTAATAGAAGGGTTCCTGGGTGTTGGCAGTTGAGCTGGGGAAAGTGCTCCAGGCAAAGGTAGGAAAGCACGTGCCAAGGCCCTGAGGTGTGAAACTGTAGGGTGCATGAGAGTAGCTGTGTGTAGTTCAGTGTGATGGAATGTGAGGGGTGAAGAGGAAGAGACTGCGGATGAAGCTGGAAAGAGGGGCCTCGATACAGGGTGTTGCTCTGGAGGTTGTTGGAGTTTTTTTGTTTTCGTTTCTTTGCGTATTTTTTTTTTTTTTTGAGACAAGGTCTTGCTCTGCTAGCCAGACTGAAGTGCAGTGGCATGATCTTGGCTCACTGTAACCTCAGCTTCCTAGGCTCAAGTGATCCTCCTACCACAGCAGGTTACACAGGAAGTGGGAGCCAACTTTCCAGAAAGGGAGGGGCTGGGGGCTTGGTCCTGAGTAGCTGGGATGACAGGCATGCACCACCACACCTGGCTAATTTTTTTAACTGTTTGTAGAGATGGGTCTCATTATGTTGGCCAGGCTGGTCTTGATCTGGATTCAAGCAATCCTCCTGCCTTGACCTCCCAAAGTATTAGAATTATAGGCATGAGCCACCACGCCTGGCCGGCTCAGGAGTTTTGACTTAATTCTGGTGGGTGAGTGATCAGAAGTCACTGAGGGATTTTAAAAGTGAATGAAACAATGAGAGCTGGACTTTCAGAAAGATTATTCCAGTGTCACTGTGGGTGGAGGACACATTAATGCGGAGGAGAGACTAGAGGCAGGGCACCACTCCCGGGGGCTATTTATCAGCCTGAGTGAGAGGTGACAAATAATCTACCCAGCTCTTTTGTCAGGCAGGTGAAATTCATGATACAAAGGTGGGAAGAGATTGGAGTCAGTGACTTCCGTCCTATGCCTCCTCCCTTCCCCCACCCCAATATATTTTTTCACTTGTCCAGGCTTGAGGCTTTATTACAGTTTCATATCATCTTACAATTTTTTCTTTTAAGAGTCTCCCTACCCTCCAAGCTTTCCCCGCTCTCTCCTCACCATCATTCCAGGCCTAGCAACGCACCCACTTCCCAGCTGACCAAGCCTCCAGCCCCTCCCCTTCTGGGAAGTCAACCCGTCTGTCCAGCTCTAACCCTGGGGTGTCTGAACCCCTCAGCCTACCCTAGCTCTGGCCCCATGAACCAACCTCAATCTGTTAGCTGCCCCCAACATCAATTCACCTCCAAAAAAAAAAAAAAAAAAAAAAACCACCTACGACTGTCCATTGTAGGTTTTATGAAAGGTTTTACAGGAAGTTGAGGAGAGTGTTGCATAGTGTTTATAGAACAAACTTTCCCCAAAGGCCTATTTAAGCATCTCTATGTTTTCCAACTTTTCTCTTTCCTGGAGCTGCCACACATTAGCTCTTTTTCCCAGCCTTCTCCCTCTCAACCCTGTGGGTTCCAGCCTTTTCCTCACCACGTTCCCTCAGCAACACAAAAGCCTTGGCCTCCCGCAGTCTCTGGACCTAGGGACTGTGTCTCTTATTGAGGACTTTTCATGCCCTGCTTTTCTTTACTAGTAGCAACTTTATCTACTCATGTCAACTTTTTACACATCGTTCCTCAAGGACAGAGACTGTGTCTTTTCTCTTTTTTGCATCCCCTGCTGCTGTGTTAATCTAGTGCCTGACATAGTAGGTTCTGAACAAGCATTGACCCTTGTTACATTCTTCTCTCTAGGTCTGGCTCTGGGTTACGGATGGAGGACTCTAGAGCCCTTCTCCTCTTCTGGTCCACAGATTGGGCCATAAAAAAGGGCAAGGATATGAGGTGGTGGTCAGGGGAAGGGTGGTACATTGTATTCCAAGGATCCTTCTGGACAAGAAAATCCTCTATTGCTCCCAGGGAAAGGCTGTGGATGGGAACAGCCTGAACTTCAGGCAGGATACACCCCCTGCCTCACTTTGGTCCAGGGGTTGGTTACCTCCTGGGGTTGCTTGAGGGTTAATTGCACTCTATCCCTCCTTGGGAAACAGATGGGAGGGGCCTTGCTTTGGATCTGGGTGCAGAGGCAGGAGGCTCTGGAGGGACTGGGCCCGGTATGTGTCCTCCATGGAGGCCTCAGCCACGGAGAGGCACAGCTTCGCCCTCATGTCTATGTGGTCATCAAGGCTAGACTTGACCCTTGGGGGAGGCTACCTGTCACCATCCTGTTGAGCTCCAACGGCGGCAGCCCTGCAGAGGCCTTTGCCATAGAAAGGTCTGCACTGGGCGCATTCTCCTAGCTGAGTGAATGGTGCAAACTAACATGCGCCCTTTATTGACATTAACATCCTTCCCTCTAGAAGGCATGTTCCTTGTGTAAGCTCCTCGGTCGCGTGAGCCAAAAGGAGCAAACTGTTGCAAGGCAGGCAGGCGCAACCCTTCCCCACACCTCTCCTCATTAACACTTCCTCCCCAGGCGCAAGGGAAGCTGTCTGCTACTGACACAGAGGCTTTGCTTATGGTGATGTGACTGCTGTAGACTCACTCCCTGCTGGGGAAGAGCTGGGGGAAGCCCAACAACAGTAGGGAGGTTCTGCCCCGCAGGCTAGGAGGCCAGCTGCTGGAAGAGGATGGAAGGCAGGATTAACTTGGTGAAAATAGAGTGTGGATTTTGTTCTGATCCTCAGCTGCCTGGAGAGCCAGGAAGGGAAGGGATGCTTTGACTGTATGGCAGGACCTCAGAGAAGGCAGGGGGACTAGCCCAACCAAACAGAAAATGCTGCAGGGCTTCTTCTCCGACCCTGGACTCATAGGACCCCCGGTAGTGGGTCAGCAGATAGATTCTGGGCCCAACCACTGCCCCCCCACAACCTCTATTGAGCAACTGCAGCCCCTTCCTGGGCTCCCTAGGGACATTGCTCAAGTCTTTGCCCCCATCCTATGCTCTCCCCAGTCTACCCAGATACTCCTTCCAATTCACAATTTCATCTGAAACCACACCTAGTACTAATGGCACTGGGAAAGGACTCTAGTCTGTCTCCCACACCCACCTTCCTGTGGGCAGTGCTAGAGCACGACAAACCCTCACTTTTCATAGCGCCCTATGCTTTCCTGCACAATCACAGAGCTCACCCAGTGGTCTGGTCTTACAGAACAGCAATATGTCAACCTAAAAGGTAGAAGTGGAGACAAAATATATAATATAAGTAGAGAGTTTATTTGGGTCAAGTTTGAGGATTACAACTTGTGAGCATAGATTCAAGTTGCCCTAAATATACACTCTGATTTGCTGCAGTTACAAGCAGATTTTTTTTTTTTTGAGACAGAGTTGTTACCCAGACTGGAGTGGAATGGTGAAATCTTGGCTCACTGCAGCCTCTGCCTCCCAGGTTCAAGCCATTCTCCTGCCTGAGCCTCCTAATAACTGGGATTACAGGCATGCGCCACCATGCCTGGCTAATTTTGCATTTTTAGTACAGATGGGGTTTCTCCATGTTGGTCAGGTTGGTCTCAAATTCCTGACCTCAGGTGATCCGCCCACCTTGGCCTCCCAAAGTGCTGGGATTACAGGCATGAGCCACGGTGCCCAGCCACAAGTAGATTTTTAAAGGCAAAAATGGGAGATAGGGCATGGGCTGAAACAAAGTTGTTTATCAGGAATTCTCACTGGTTTACAGAGATAAGATTGATTTGATTGGCTATGCATTGCTAAGCTATAGAGCGTGGGCTGCAGTGTCTGGTATGGCATTATTCGGTTGATCTAGAGCTACCTGTGGTGATAGCAAGCCGTTTCAAGAGTCGAACACATTGCTCAAAGCAGGGGAGTAGGACATGATTGCTGTCTCATTTTAGTGTCTCTAAAGGCCTAATGATTAAAAGGACTTGTATTCCTCAGATAAAGCTCTTTTCTTAACTCCTTTCATTGGGAGGTGAGTTACTCTACTTCCCTTTGTATATGTAGCAACAGTAGATCAGTTCGGGCAGACCCTGGGCTCCTCACACCCTCCAGCACATCCTTGAAGTGAGGGTACCAAGCACAGGCTTTCATCACTGAGAGATGAGCCTGTAGAAGGTGATGTTTGACTCACCCTCGTTGCTCCTAAACCTGAGTGGATTCGTGTCCTGGAGATTACCAAAGGTTTAGAGCATGAAGGGACCTTGAGAGCCAAATGTGTGTCTAAATCTGAAGCCCAGAGGAAGCAAGGAAGCAGTCCAGGGTCATCATCAGCTAAGAAGCCTCCTGGGACTGCAAACAGAAAGCCTGAAAAGACTAGGTGGTCATCATTCATTTTATGAAAAACTTGCTGTACAGAAGCTTAAGAACTTTGGCTTCCAGCAAGACAGACAGGATAGAAAGTGCATGGCCACAGCTGGGTTCCTGGAAAATCCTTCATTTCTCCTTCCCAGAGTGTTGTGACCTCAGGGCTCGGTCACAGTGAAGGCCCGCAGAGAAGGGTTGGCTGTGGGTGACTGCATAAGATATATGGCTTGAGGGGCCCAGGGAAAGACTGAAGGAAGGAAGGGAGAGAAGGGAGGGGAGGGGAGGGAGTGGAAACAAAATGGGTTGGGGCTCAACTAGTAGAAGGAGAACAATAGGGAGTGTTTGAGATTTTTGTCTTTGCTTGTTTGGAAATTGAACCCTGGGTTTTCATTCAGTTAAATTCAAATCAGTAGGCCTCTTATTCATTCGTTCATTTGACAAATATTTACTGAGTAGTTACCAAGTGTCAGGCCCTCTGCCAGGCACTGCATCCCTTGCAATGAACAAGACAGTTAAGCCCAGCCTTCAAAAAGGAACATTCTAATGTGGATGAAGCAGGGAGGGGTGGGCACAGTGGGAGGGATCAGGTTTGTGAAGGAGCCATAAACAAATGGGCAGGCCGTGACTTGGGGTTGGTCTAAGTGCCAAGGAGAAGTAAAGGGTTATGGGCAGCATGGCCTTCCATGTCCCCTGCTCAAGGAGGGCCTCTTCCTAAGTCTCCTTTGTGCTTAATGGAGGGGAAGGAGCCAGCCACAAAAACAGAAGTAGGGGAGGAGGGAACTAGGGAGACAGGAAGGGCATTCATTCTAAGCAGAGGGAGCTGCAAGGGTGTCACATCTGTCTGGGATTGTTCAGGCTGCTATAGCAAAATACCTTAGACTGGGCAATTTATAAACAAGACAAACTTAATGCTCACAGACTGGAGGCTGGGAAGTCCAAGATCAAAGCATCTGATCTCATTCGTGAGGAGCACAGCCCTCCTGATCTAATCATCGCCAGAGGCCCCACTTATTAACACTATCACATTGGGGATTAAGTGTCAACATATGAATTTTATGGGGACACCGACATTCAGGCCACAGCAACACTTGAACCACGGGGACATCAAGGCAAAAACAGCTGTGCTGGTTTAAGGAACAGGAAGGAGACCAATGGGGCTTCACTAAGTGGGTGGAGGAGAAAGACAAAGGATAGGGCTTTTGTGGGT